TGCACTCGGAACAACGAGCGTTTCGTTAGCGACCTTCGGGAACGCGGCGGCGCACGGTTAATCGTGTTACACCACCCCCGATTCGATTACCGGATCAACAAATTACCAGGCCGGCCGGCGTGCGTGTAATTCCGACCGATTAACGAGACAATTACCGAGGCGACTCCTCCGACCGGCTTTTTATTTATTCGCCGTTACGACATTCAATTACCGGCGTCTCCGTTTGCCGCGACAAAATTGCGTTGCCGGCCTCGTTATCCGCGCGATTCTCTCCCCTTTCCCCCCGCGCGCGCGCTCGCGCGCTCTTCAGTTTTTCTCCCATCGGACCGATTCTTTCGCGATTCATTTCGAAGAACGTCCGGTCGACCGGTTCGCGTTTCGATTCCCGCGGGTTTTCTCGCGTCCTTCTTCTCCTCGCGGTTCCCTTCCTCGCGTTGCTGCTCCTCGTGGTTGACTCCTCGTGGCAAGCAGTCAGGCCCATCGCGGTATGCAGGACAGTAGGTCGACGCGCGCTCGTTTTTTCTCTCTCTCTCTCTCTCTCTCTCTCTCTCTCTCTCTCTCTCTCTCTCTCTCTTTGTCGGCGCGATTCTCCGTCCGCGACGCGTACAATATTTTAAGGATGCACCGACCGCGCGCGGGAACGGCTATTAAACGACGCCGCGGCAAGGAGAGGAGATGAACGGTGACGAGAGGCGGAAGGAGAGACGACGAAGAGTCCGAGAGATTGTCGACCGGATGCGTCGTGTCCGTCGCGAGGAATCCGCCTCGCGGAGGACGGAACGTCGCGGCGATATGTAGCGCAGAATTTTCTTTCGCCTCGGGAAAGTCGCCTCTGCCCCAGCTGGCCGATTCCTAGACTACTTCGGTTGCTATTGTCGCGATACGGTCACGCTCCCCGGAACCGTTTACTTTCTTCGTTTTCTCGCCGCTTCTTGCTCGCCTCATCCTCTTCCTTCTCCTCCTCTTCGCCGAGATCTTGCCTCTTAGCCTCGTTTCCCTAAGTGTCCATTATTTTCATTTTCCGAGCCAGCGACTCCGCCGGCTCCTCCAGAGATACTCCCCTTCTGTCTCCCACTTCTCTCTCTCTCTCTCTCTCTCTCTCTCTCTCTCTCCCTCTCTCTTTTTCTCTTTTCAGCAAGCCGTGTTACTCAGTCCTCTTTGTCGGCGTTTAATTCCTTTTCGCCGACGAATCGCCGCGTTTCAGTGTCTTGTAAGTCAAACTTTTCCGACGCTGGTTCTGACTCTCGCTTTTCTTTCCGCGACGACGCCTCTTCTTTCGAGAACTTGTTCCGAAAGCCAAACCTCTCGGCGCGTTTGAGATATTATTTCAAATAACACGTCGTCTCACTTTTTTATTTATTTGTAAACGCGACAGTTCCGTTAACACTTCAATGGCCGCAAGTTTAAGCAGTGAAACGTCGCCGGAGGCCGGCAATATTTTGGAAGAATTGACCCTTTGCACTCGAGTGGTGACTCTGAGGCACCGCTGAAATTGTTACATTACGTTCCAAGATCATTTTTATACCATCAAAGCTTAGATGTAAAAAGAATTGTTAAAAGTCTAATTGTTGTACGAGTCACAAAACTCGATTTCATATACATGAGGTGCACTTTGTCATATAAAATGGAAATACTACAAGTCGGAAAAGTTGATTGAAATTTACGGTTAAAATGGCTTCGAGTGCAAAGGTTTGACTTTAATTCTTTTTAATTATTTAATATGTTTTCTTTTGATGAATCATGTAAATTCATGAAACAATTCAACATGTGCGAACATACGCGTGAAACAAAACATAGACAACAACAACAACAACGATAACAGCACATTTGATACGACAACGTTTTTCCTTTGCGTGATAATTATTAAAGCAATCGCCTACATGATTATTAAAGCATCGCATACATGTTGTGCGAGCGGCCATCAAAGTGTTAAAGTGCATAATTGAAGGCATCGGCGCGGTGAACGCACGTTTTTATAACAACAAAAAAACGGAAGAACGTAACTTTACGACGAATGGCGGAGGATCGGCGAATCAAGCGTACAATTTACAAAGTCGTATCATGTATGAAATAAAAACTTAGATAAAAACCGAAATATTTCATTATTTGAGATTGCTATTGCGTCTGAAGCGGACCGATATCATTTTTTATGTTCAGACAACGACACCGAAAATAACGTTTCGAAATGGATCATTTGAAGAAATCAAAATTTCCCAGGTCCGCCCTTCCCGCGAAATCGTTGGTGATTCGACGCGATAGTTTAATTTACTATTATATTGTATTAATTGTAATTATATATATATTACAATTAATACAATATAATAGTAAATTATATATCAATTATAATTGTATATAATTACAATTAATACAATATAATAGTAAATTATATACCAATTATAATTGTATATAATTACAATTAATACAATATAATAGTAAATTATATATCAATTATAATTGTATATAATTACAATTAATACAATATAATAGTAAATTATATATAATTACAATTAATACAATATAATAGTAAATTATATACCAATTACAATTGTATATAATTACAATTATATATAATTACAATTAATACAATATAATAGTAAATTCTCCCTAATTGACGCTCAGATTCTACACAAAAATGGACAATTTGAGATACGATTATTCGAGCTTTGCGGCTCGTTTCTACAGTTGTCAACAATCGATAACTATAAGTAATAACCATAACTCCTCCTCTCTCAAATTGTCCATTTTTCTAGAGTCTGAGCGTCCATCAAAGAGAATTTATTGTACACCTTGGCGGAAGAACCAATCGTCGGATAGAACGTTGACGCGCCGAAGGGAAGAAGACGGGACGGCGGATCGCGCGAGGGCTCGCCAGGAAAAGGAAAGAAACCCTCGTGGATTTTCGAAACGCTGAAAAAGTCGTTCGAGTCGCTTCGGTTCAATAAATCGCGATCGCACCTGTCGACGCGGCACGCGGCGCAGAAGACGATCTCTCGCGAGAGTCATCCGCGCGATTCGTTCTGTTCCACCTCCATCGGGGACCGGCTCTCACAATCCGAGGGGCCCGTCCCGCGGTCCCGTTGGCCAGGAGAAGCCCGTAGAACCGAGAGAGAGCCCGGAGAGCAAGGATTTCGTTGTTCGCGCGTCTCGCAGACATGTCGGATCAACCGGGATTCACGGCCGCCGGAAGATCTCTCTCGCGTCCTCGAGTATTCGCCGCGGGTCTCGACGGACGAGCTTAACCGCGATATTCTCGGGAAAATTCGAGTGTTTCTCGGCCCGGTGGTCTTACACGAAAGCCAAACGGGGCTAAACGCGAAACGAAAAGAATTGTGACCGTGCAACGGGGATATCGATACCGTTCCAAGGATAACCATCGATTCCGCCTCGATCCAGGGATCTCGATCGGCTGGTCGCCGTGCAGAGTACGTCTCGCTTGTCCGCCGACAAGGACACGGAACGGAGAAAAGGACAACGGTTAAATAATCTAGACCAGGGGTGGGCAAACTTTCGATCGCTGCAGGCGACCTGTTCTTTTAAATTAGAGGCGGCGGTATAGCAACATCGTACGTGTCAAGTGATCGTAAGAAAAGTAGTAATTTAACGCCGAAAATAAGTTTCGATGTAAAATTAATACAGATAATATCGGACAGGCGAGCGACTAGGAATACAAGTTACACACGGTCGACGCTTTGGCCACCCCTGATCTAGTCCATGGGTGTCGAACCCGCGGCCCACAGCAAGGAACATTAATAGCTCGCGCACTACCCCCGGCGGAATGTGTTCGAGCACCCTTTGAAGCGCGACAACTTTTTTCAAACTCGACCAAATTACCTGAATTTTTTTGGATCGCGTTAGACCGGCTGGTTCACCGCGCAAGGGACTAAAATGCTTCTTTTTGATTTTGATAACAATAATAATGATATTTCGTTCGTTCAACGGGACGAACCATTTGCCGTGGAATACGAAAATACGTTAGCAATCAAACAGAGTGCAAACGAGAGAAAAAGGAGAAGCGAAATGATGAAGCAAATGGATGTCGATGCGATACGACTGGACTGCGGATTTTATGCAGTTTTATGCAAGAATGAATAGATGAGAATCGAAACATCGAGAACGATTGAACAATTCAAGCTTGTTTAAATTTAAATTTAAATTTAATAAAAATTTGTAGTCTAGATATGACGTAATAAAGTAAAACGATAGAAATCCAGGCAACTGGAGATAAATGAAAAGCGGCATGTGAGGCTAAATTTAAAGAAATTATTAAAGAAATTGTTTTTAAATTATTTAAAGAAATCAAGTTACCAGAAAACTTGACAGAATCTTGCAGTTACTCGGTAATTAGAATAAACACAGTAAGAAACCTTTAATTCCTGATGATAACGTTTCAACCATATTCAAATAAAAAGCGAAATATAGTATTTATATCTTAGCATATTTAGTATATTTTATTCTCTTAACTGGTATTTTATTATCTTCTAGATCACCTAAATTTTATCTGCCTCGTTTCGACTTACAAAACCTACAGGTTTCGTTGTGTTCTTTGGAGATTGCGCATCTGTCGCGTCCAATCTAAAAGAAAGAAAGTGCAAATTATTGCAATGGAAAATTCTCCATTAGAGTGCAAGTAAATTTAGTGAAACGGTACATTCTCCCTAATTGACGCTCGGATTGTGCGCGAAAATGGACAATTTGGGGAGAACAGATACGATCATTCGAGCCTTGCGGCTCGTTTTTATAGATCGTCAACTAACTGGCCGATTTTGTGCACAATCTGAGCGACAATTAGAGAGAATTTACCGTACCACTTTGTCTAAAACAGCTGATCTTGTTCAAATGTGGCCTAAAGAAGCTAAAATCTCGAAAACCCCGGATCCGGACAGTAAACATCGAGGCGCGACGAGATCGCTTTGAAAACGAGTCGATCGGGAAAGAATAAACGCGTCCGGCTGAAATATCGTTGGACAACGTTACATAGAACCCGGTCGCGAAATAAGTTGCCAGTTAATCTCGATCGGTCCGCGACAGAATCCGCGTTCCGGGACAGGAGAACCGGGGCGACGCGGCTCCCCACGGTACATTCTGCTCGTCGACGCGTTTTCCGGCCGATAAATTGAATTTAATGTCGCGTTGCGAGCACGTCCGGGCCCCGGGAACGCGTCGGAACGTTATCGGAAAATCCGGATCGTGATTAGTTGCATCTGGCCGGCTCTACGGAACGACGGAAGTTCCTCGACCCTCTGCCTCTCTGTTTTACGGTTCGCCCCGAGACGAGGCTGAGCTCGATCGCGACGCGTCGGGGCCTCGGGACGCAGAAAATCCTCCGAATTCGCGTGGGAAAAAAAGCAGCCGGCAATTGTCTCTATGTTCTATCGGACGAATAATCAAGGCCGAAAAAGCGCTAATCAACGGAAAGGAAGTACGGTGTACGGCGGCAACTAAAATTCAACACTTCAAATTCCGTTTCAATTTTCCGACGCAATTAGAACGCGAAATTTTACGGCGCGCGCGCGCGCGCGGTCGGACGGCTGGAACAAATGAACGTTTATTCGTTACAATTTCCAATTACAATTCATTCGAGAGGAAGCAAGCGAGCCGTTCCGCCCCGAGCTATTTCATTTCCTGGCTGCCCAATGAAACGATTGCGCGCGCGATGCTGTTTGCTGTCCGCGCGACAAGAAAGAAAGAAGAACAACGCGGCGGGAGAAAGAAGGAAGCGCGGCTCACCCAAATTGTTCGGTTCGCAGGTCCATCTCGCGGAGGAGAAGTGGGCCGGTCGGGCCCGGGGCCCGAGGCTATAGGCCAGCCCGAGTTTCGTCGCGGAGAGGATCCCGACCTCTTCGATATATATCTCTCTCTCTCTCAAGACAAACAGACAGAGAGAGAGAGAGAGAGAGAGAGAGAGAGAGAGAGGACACACCTGAAGAAAGAACCGACTTTTCGGAGGATGATTCATCGGTCGCCTCGTTGAGCGAGCGGTTCGCGCTTCGATCGGAAGCGAGCGCGAGCTTAGACGGCTCGGTGGAGGAGCGGCATTAGAAGGAGTAGGAGGAAGTTGAGGAGAAGGAGGCCTCGAAGGAGATCGAAGCGAGCATGTGAGACGGGTCGCGGGCTCGAACGACCCGAAGACAAAGAAGCACCGCGGCGGAGGGGGCCGTCGATCGGCGGATGAATTGAATAGTCGGAGAGAAGTCGGCGAGAGGAGTCGAGGGAGAGATATCGTCCTGCGAGGGTGATTCCGGTGTCCCTGCCGGAGATAGGAACAGATACGGGAATAAGTGGCGGAGCCAAGATGAGCAGACGAACCGTGCCGCCGGCTGGGCTAAACTCCTGCGAGAGGATCAGGCCGGAACGACCGAGGAACCCCATCCAGAGGCTCGTCTGGGGTCCCGGCTCCCAGTTCCAGGTCGGGCAAATCGGCTTGCCCGAGGACGAGGGCTCGAATCCACGGATGGCACTCAGAAGGTACGTGTCCCCGCCGGTTCCTCCACCCCCGTGCCCCGTTCCAGCCGCGATCGATCCAGTTTGCCAACCGTTTACCGGTCGAACGAACGAATTACGAGCCCGCCTATTCAAACAGCTACTCGGGTATGCGCATAATCGACGGGTTGTTTCGCGTTCACGGTATCGGCCGTCGAACCGCGTGGCAGCTCGAACGAGCTTTCGATCGGCGGAGATTTGTCCGGTCGACAGCCGCGCGGCTTCGGAAGCTCCGGGATAATTTGCTCGCTGTCCATCGAGACGATACATCTTCTTCCTCCCTCTGCCTCGTCTCGGCTCTCGCGCAGGCGAGCGATCGCGGGACAATCGTCGACGGAGGTCTTTTGACGGAGGAACCGATCGCGATCGGGACGGGATCAAAAGCGTGTTAAACGGCGAGCGGGAGTCGGGGTCGGGTCGAGTAAACGGAGAGTTGGCGAGGGCCAGCGACCGGCTTAATACGATCGCGTTTCCTTTGAACAGTCTGCTGCGATTGTACGAGGGAAGACAATACCGCGAGGCGGCCAGTTTCCTCGCGAAGCTGCCGCACTACACCCTGAGGGCCACCCTGCCGGACATTCCGGTGGACCTGTTGATCGAAACGCTGCCGCACAGTCTGGCCCTGCTCGAGGCGCTTTACACGAGGCTGGTCGAGCTGAACGTCAGCGACGCGAAGGTGCTGCGTGTCGAGCAGGTGCTCTGGAAGATCGTGCACCTGATCTCCGTCAGCCAGGATCATTTTCGTCTGAGGATCTGGTGCAAGCTGCTGGTGGCGGTCGGCAGATTGGCGCCGAACGCGCGGAGCACGCTGGTCGCGAGGAGAAGGGCGCTGGAGAGGGCCGTGGAGGGCCTCGGCCGGCACGGGCTCGTACCCTCGGCGCAGCTCTGCAACCCCGAGACCGGGGCCGCGTCGAATCTTCTTCCGCTTCCGGTCGCGTTGAAAGAGGTGCTCGAGACCAGGATCGACGCGTACAAGCTGGCCGTGCACAAGATCGAGAGCTTCGGGAAGCACGCCAGAACGCACAAAGGTAAAAAAGCGCGCGGTCACGCGATCCGACGGCTTCGGGAAAAGGTCCGAGCGCAAGGATCTCGCCGTATCCCGCTCTGGATTTCACCGCGCCGGGGAAACGCCCCGAGGAATTTCCATGGGAAGCGAAAACGTCGCGGACGATCACGCGAGAGAAAGTCGCGGGGATATTCGATCGGATGTGCCGTTCCCGATCCGATTACCACCGTCGTACGCCGGCTGTCTGAAATGACACGCGATCGCGTTCCTCGAGTGTCATCCTGTCGTATCGCCGTCACGTCGCCTCTCCCGGCAGTTCCACTTACCGAGATCTCGGGGATCCGGTCCCCGGGCGCGCCGGGAAAGCGGCGAAAACGAACGAGCTGTGCGGGATCGGATAGGACGCTCGGGGAATCGAATGCCGCGCGGACTGTTTGTCCCGGTGAACTTCTGCTCGGCCGTGTCGCGTGTTCCGGGCCGGCGTGAAAGGTGCTCGCGCGTCTCGCTAACGTCGCCGGGTCGAGCAAGGACACAGGGATGAGATCAAGTTCGATGTACAAGGTGTATCAGAAAGGTCTTGCAATCCGGAAATTAGGGGTTCCCGAGGTCGCTGGTCGGTCCATGTAATAGCAAACTTTTAAGTGGAAGTATTATAGTCGTTGTCTAGTGGGCTAGTCTCTCTTTCATCTAAAAGGAATTCAAGACGTTCGGACCAATTTTAACCCTTTGCACTCGACTGGTGACTCTGAAGCACCAGAAAAATTGTTGCATCGCGTTCCAAGATCATTTTTATATTGTCAAAGTATAGATTGAAAAAATTGTTAAAAGTGTAACTGTGGTTCGAGTCACAAGACTCAATTTCAGTATGCATAACGTGCACTTTGTCGTGTAAAATGGAAATACTATAAGTCAGAAAAATTATTTTAGATTTACAGTTTAAATGGCTTCGAGTGCAACGCGTTAAAAAGTTGATTTCGATTGAAAAGCTGTCGATACAGGATGTCCCAAAATTATTGTACGAGAGAGAAATGAAAGGTTCCTGGGGTCATTCGAAGTAACTTTTTCCTTTGTGAAAATACGATCCGCGGCTTCGTTCGCGAGTTATTAACGATAAACGCTGACCAATGAGAGTCAAGCTCGAGTAGGCGCGAGGCGGCCGAGCCAATGTGCGGAACCGGGCTTCGTGCGCCCGTTGGCTCGGCCGCCTCGCGTCAGCTGTTCTCGCCTCTCATTGGTCGACGTTTTTCGTTAATAACTCGCAAACGAGGCCGCGGATTGCATTTTCGCAAAGGATAAAGTTACTTGAAATGGCCTCGGGAATCCCTCACTTCCCGCTAGTACAATAATTTTGGGAATAATTTAAGGAATCCTAGTTTCAATCTCAATGATCAAGTTTCCTTTCACGGGTTTCGATTGCCACCCAAAAGCAATAACGTTTCAATGATTACACTTAACATCGAAATAACACCGCCGAAATACTCGCAGAGAGTTCGCATCTATCTCGTAAAGGTTCGAGCGTAGTGTACTCGATGCCATCTCTAGTAAGGACGTTAACGAAACGTGTTCCGATATCGCATTCGACGTCGGATCGCGCGTAGCTCGACGGGGCCCGTGAAGCGTCGAATTTGAACGCGGCTCGCAGCTTGCAGCGGCTGCATCGGACGCGTTGCATTTCTGGCAACGTGTCGCGGGACGCGTTGCGGCGGATTTACACGGGAAACGGGGCACGCCTGACCCGCTTTCGATCCGTCAGCCGGCACGCACCGTGCGCTTAACAGGCTTCAAAACGCTGGTGCCCGCGAGCCAATCTAAAGGAAAATGACATCGTTGCCGACGCGCGTCCGTCCGTTGTTCGACGGCCTGCGAGCCGGGTCCCCCCGATCGCAGAAACGAGTGTCGGCGAGCTCCGCGTTTATTCGAATTGATTGCCGGACGATTACCGGCGCCGAATTTGTCGCGACTCGCGATTGATTTGCTCCGCGAATTGCGGGATAATTGGACCGGGCCGCGTCGCGTCGCCGGATTACTGCTCGCGGATTAAAAGAGAAGCGAGAGAGATAGGAGAACGCGCGCACCCCGCTCTCTCCGTTTCGGCACGGAATTATCGCGAATCAATCGGACGAGCGGAAATTGCCGATTTCTAGGCATGGATCGCGCGCGCGACCGCCTACGAAAGCGCCGCGAGATCGGACGAAAGGGAAGCGTGTAACGGGCTTTGTTCCGCAGCGGACCACGGCGTGCAGGCGGCCTCGCACCAGCGGCAACTTTCGCTCAAGTACAGCGAGATCCAGCAACGGCTGATCGATAATCAGAGCCTGCTGAACACGTTGGAGAAAGTCGGCGACCCGAGCTGCTTAGAAAGTCTGCTGTCGGAGCTGAAGCGCAGGGTCGAGCAGGACAAGGAGGCGCTCAGACAATGGACGGCCTTGAGGAATTCGACGCTCGCAGGGGACACGAAGAACCCGCCGCTGGCCGCAAGGCTGTTGCAGTTCTCCAGGGGATGCGAGCTCGCGCTGCAGCTGATGACGCAGGACACCAATTTGCAGGTACGCGGCAATCGATCCCTCGTTCTCGTTGTCGTTCCCGTTGTCTCTCGCGCCGCGCAGAGAACAGCCGATGGAACGTAGAACGCAGGGCTCGCGGAATTTCCCCTCGAAGCGCGTAATTAATTCGGGGGGTGGAGGGAGAGAGAGGGCCCTCCAACCCTTCGGACTTGGCGTCCGTTTTCTACGCTCAGCGACAACTTCGAAAGTAGTGGAGCACGACGTCTGATCGTCCGGAGAAACCTCTCGGACGTCGAGTCTCCTCGGTTTTCGGGACCACGCCTTCTCTGTTCCATTTTCCAGCTGGCCGGTGTTGCAATGCTGTTAGCCGTCGGCGTACACCTTCGCCACAAATCCCCGGGGCGGTTTTCCGGCGGATCTTAACTCGGGACCTCCCGGCGCCGGAACACGCGCCGGACCTTCGGGCCCCCGTCATTGGCGTAATCCGAGAACCATCGATCGCTAGCCAGATTGCAACGGATTGCAGCAAATTGTTGTAAATCGAGCCGACGCGGTTCTCTCGCAGGAGAGATCATAGGCGCGTTTAAAATTTTGATAGAACAATTTGCGGCCGCGCGTCCACGTTCGGCTCGCCGATCGAAATGACCGCACGCGCGTAATCGCTGGTCCGCGCCCGCCGCGGCGTTTCCAATTAATAAATATTTCGTCGGAAATTCGGAGGGACGCCGATGCCCCGCGCGCACCAAAATTGCGCGCGGCCGTTCGCGCTGATTCGCCCTGTCAATTAATTATCCAACGGCCGAGCTTTCCTTCGCCCGGACGTTTTTCAATCGCGACTGTCGTTTCCATTCGCCGGCGAATTCCTTGGTTCCCTATCGCTTTCTCTCTCTCTCTCTCTCTCTCTCTCTCTCTCTCTCTCTCTCTCTTCTTCTTCTTCTTCTTCTTCTTCTCTCTGGCTCTCCCGTTCTGTCCCGACCGTTGGCAGCACTCGAGGGGGAAATCCTCGGGAGACAAGAGGTGTCGCGAGAAATTCCAAGAAGTTTGTTCCAGTCGATTCCGGGCCGAACGAGCGGAAGATTCGATTCCTGTTCCCGGCGGCCGGGAAGCGAAACTTTCCCTTCCCGGCCGTGGAAACGCTTTAATACCGTTCGAAGGAAAGAACGGAAAACGAGCAGAGCGAACGGAGATGAAACGAGGTCGCGACGGCCGGACGATTGTTGATTAAAAACGGCGCCGATTCGACAGCGCCGCGGCGCGGCACGCCGCGACTCCGTAATTAATCAGATTTTACGACCGGGGGGAACCACTTTTACTTCTCCAGCCGAACGGGAGAACCGACCCCGATGATCGACGACGAGCCTCGGCGACTCTTTACTCATTCCTCCTCGACCCGTAAATCCTCGGATTCGAAGAAGAGACATTAACGACCTGCCCGGTTCCACGGCCGAATTTCGAAAGCCGTGCGAACGGATTTAAGACGCTCCCACCGGTATCCGCTCAGCCTGCTCGCGGTTTCCAGTTGATTCCGGCGGGAACGAAACCTCTCCTAATTTTAACACAATCATCGGAATTGTTCGACGAATTGGTAATTCGCGAAAGCTGCCATCGCGAACCGTACGAAACCCCTTGGCCTCGAATAACGACCACTCCGAGGCACCATTAAGCATGCGTCGCGCTGTTGGATCTTTCGGATAGTTGTTTCGCTCGTTCACGAGAAAACGAGAAGACGATTTCTGAACGATCGGAGCGGAAAGAAAGGAAACATTTTTTGGCGTTCTTCTGGCAGCTTCGAAATCTTGTGCTCGCGGAAGTGCTGCGTTCCTTATTCGCAAAATAGTGAATGCTTTTTCGATACCGTTACAAGATGACATTTTTTGTTGATAACATAATCAACCTTGCGGACGATACAATGTGTCAGTTTTCAACTGTTCTACCAAGGCTGTATCTGCTGAATCGTTAAACAACTAAGTATCGTACGAGCAAGTGGGGTTAATGTCGTAAAAAGTACCTCAAAAGTATGTGGACACCACCTTAATTTTTACTATTTTCTAAAAATAATTATGATTGAAATTATTTTTATTATTATTATATTAATAATACAGGATTTGCATATACCTGCTCTTCTTGCAATTTTCCTTACAGAATATCCTTCTTTGGGGATTCTTTGTGGATGCAATGAAAGAAAAATGTCATACAAACCGACCACGTGGAGCAAAGAATAATGCAATATTGCATATCTTGTGTAAACTTTTATTCATTTAAAGGATTTAAATGCTTGAATTGTTCAATTTGATGTTACCAAGGTGCATAGCATATGCATGCATTCAGAATTTAGCAATAATCATTTAACGATAATAGTACACGTTAAACAGTAAATTCTCCCCAATTGTCATTCAAATTGTACACAAAAATGGACAATTTAGGAAGAGGAGTTACGATTATTCGAGTTTTGCGGCTCGTTTCTATAGTTACCAATTGTCAAGAACTATAAAAAACGAGCTGCAATAATCGAATAATCGTACCTCCTCTTCTCAAATTGTCCATTTTTGTTTCCAAGCTGAGCGTCAATTAGCGAGAATTCACTTTACAGTAAATTCTCTCTAATTATCGCTCAGATTGTACGCAAAACCGGACAATTTAGGAAGAGAAAGTACGATAAATTAGGGAGAATTTACTGTCCATGCAGTCAGAACAAAATTTAGCAATAATCATTTAACGCTAGATTCACGGAGCACAAAGATACAGCTGTTTTATATTAGTTTACAAAAGTAACAATAAGACATTTAGTCTGACTTTTAACAAGTGTTACATTTATTACATTACATTTTATGTACATTATGTTACATTACTATGTAAATTTATGTATTATTACTTACTTAACATTTGCCGTAAGTAATTATCGAATTATTAAGTAATTATTGAATAAATAACTCGCCAATCTATATCTTCACGACACGAATAATCGTCGATTAAAAAATTATTGTCCCGTCATTTCGACGAGTTCCGTGAATCCACTGTTAACGATAACGATACGCGTTATATTTCGTAACTTCTATAAAACAAACAAATGTCCGCAGACTCTCGCGCGACGGTGTACGCATCGAGCACGAATGCCGGTAGAAAATGAAAATGGTATCGCAGGGGCGAGAAAGAAATGTCTTGATCCCAGGGTTTAAAGCGTCTCCGAGCGGAAAGTGTTAATACAACGTGGGAAAAGTTGGCGTGACTTTACGGTATGCTTGCACTCAGGTATTCCAATTGGACGAGAATCTGGCGGACGACTACGAGGAGGAATCCAGCAGCAGCGCGGGCTATCACACGGACGAGAGCTGCAGCCCGACCCCCGAACCGGTAGTTAGGATCAGCTGCGAGCTTCTCAGGCCCGAGAAGAATTTTTCCAACGCCGTAACTTCCGGCGGCGACGTGACCGCCGAACGACTGGCCGAGAGCTATGCCGCCCTTTACAGCCAGGCCCATTTGCATACCTTGGATGCTCTGGATGCGCTGGAGCCCCTCAAGGATGCGCCCGACTTGAAGGCCAAGATCCTCTACTCGGTGGTCGTGGTAAGTGCCGGAACATAATCCGCCCTTAATCCTTAACCGGATCGTTTTCCGCGCGTTCCAGTTCTTTAACTGGCGACGCATTAACATATTTTCCGCGGGGCCCGCGACTTACAATAGCGCGAGCCACGACGACGACAGTGGAACGATCGTTTCCTTCTTTCAAGCGGAGGCCGGGTCGCCCAAGGACATAGGGACGGGATCAAGTTCGATGTACAAGATGTCCCGGAAACGTCTCGCAATCCGGAAATTAGGGGTTCCCGAGGTCGCTGGTCGGTCCATGTAATAGCAAACTTTTAAGTGGAAGTATTATAGTCGTTGTCTAGTGGGCTAGTCTCTCTTTCATCTAAAAGGAATTCAAGAGGTTCGGACCAATTTTAACCCTTTGCACTCGACTGGTGACTCTGAAGCACCAGAAAAATTGTTGCATCGCGTTCCAAGATCATTTTTATATTGTCAAAGTATAGATTGAAAAAATTGTTAAAAGTGTAACTGTGGTTCGAGTCACAAGACTCAATTTCAGTATGCATAACGTGCACTTTGTCGTGTAAAATGGAAATAGTATAAGTCAGAAAAATTATTTTAGATTTACAGTTCAAATGGCTTCGAGTGCAACGGGTTAAAAAGTTCATTCCGTTTGAAAAGCTGTCGATACAGGATATCCCAAAATTATTGTACGAGAGAGAAATGAAAGGTTCCTGGGATCATTCGAAATAACTTTTTCCTTTGCGAAATTACGATCCGCGGCTTCGTTCGCGAGTTATTAACGATAAACGCTGACCAATGAGAGTCAAGCTCGAGTAGGCGCGAGGCGGCCGAGCCAATGTGCGGAACCGGGCTTCGTGCGCCCGTTGGCTCGGCCGCCTCGCGTCAGCTGTTCTCGCCTCTCATTGGTCGACGTTTTTCGTTAATAACACGCAAACGAGGCCGCGGATTGCATTTCCGCAAAGGATAAAGTTACTTGAAATGGCCTCGGGAATCCCCCATTTCCCGCTAGTACAATAATTTTGGGAACAATTTTGGGAATAATTGCAGGAATCCTAGTTTCAATCTCAATAATCAAGTTTCGTTTCACGGGTTTCGATTGCCACCCAAAAGCAATAACGTTCCAATGATTACACTTAACATCTTTCTCCGCCGAAGTACTCGCAGAGGGTTCGCACCTATCTCGTAAAGATTCGAGCGTAGTATACTCGATGCCGACGACGGCGGAACGAGGCACGATCGTTTCCTTCTTGTAAGTGGCGCCTGAAAGGAACGATCGGAGAAGCAGGCGAGACGCGATTCTGGGTCGAATTAACGCGTGGTTCTTTTCCGGCGGCGTTCCCAATCCCGCGAATATCGAGGGACGAGAGTCCGATTGCCTTTTTTTGTTTCGCATCGCGTTCTTTTCGACGCCGTCCGCCGCGGGAAAACGGGAAAAGAGAACGCGAGATTGGAAAGCGAAAAAGACAGCGGACCCAAAGGCCGGCCATTAAACCGATTTTACTGCAATTGATTGCACGCACGCGTGTCGCGGACCGCTGTCACTCGCGTGTCGTCGAGGCGTGTCCGCGCCGATCCTCGCTTTCTCTATTTTTCCCGCGAATCGTTTTGCCAGGACGGCCGCTTTTGTCCCGCGACGAATCTCTGCGTGAAACGGGAATGACGCGTCCACGCGTTGCAACGCTGCGAATTCTCCCTGTCTCTCGCTTCGAAAATGCTAGCGTTTGGCCGGGTTTCGTCAGTCGAAAATCGACGGGAAAATTCGCGGAGTCTCCGGGCGACGGGATACGGCCAGAAGGAAACCGGTGGTTCAGCCATCCGAATTACACGCGGATCCACGGAACACGATTCCGCTTCCGGTAGGACCGCTTGCGACTCGTTTCAGAGCGCGAGACGACGGGATTAGCCGTTCACGGTTCAGATATTCCGCTTGAAAGATGACACAGGAAGATCCGCCGATGATAGCCGGGCGAAGCTAACGAATGGGCGGCCATCCGTCTTCGAACGTGTCGAAAATCTCGGCTCCGGCACACGCGGTCCGAATTTCGTCCATGCTGGAGATTCTTATTTCACGTACAGTGTGCTACAAAAGTGTTCGTACACCTCTTGAAACGCAATAACTATTTTAAAACTGAAATAAATAGCTTGGACCTTTTTTTAGATGGTGGAGGAACTGGTTTACTAAACGATGACTGAAATGCTTTTTTCTTTTAATTTTACTTGGAAATTGTTATTATTATTATATACAATTTTACTTGTTATTTGGAATGAGAAAAAAATAAAAATCTCTCGTTTTTTAACTTTTTTGTGAGCCTGTAACGAAAATTTAAAAAAGATCTCGGCAACTTATATGCATATTGAAAATTTTATAGAAACCGATTCACGTTGTTATGGGTTACAACAAATTAAAGATCGCAAAAATCGCGACTTTATCGCGATTTTGACTAAAAATTGTAAGAAATCTGCAGTTTTTAAAATCCTTCAACACCTGCAGCTCGACTTTGGGTCAACCGATTCCGATCAAGACGAGAGGCATTTTTAAAATTTTTGTTATAGTCTCAAATTAAAAAGTTAAAAAAATGAGAGTTTCTTATTTCTTCTTTTCATTCCAAGTAATAACAAAATTTAGGAAAAGGAAAGTTTTTTAGCCATCATTTAATAGACCAGCTCCTGTATTATTAACAAAAAAAATTCAAGTCGTATAGTTCAGTTTTGAAATAGCTGTTGCGTTTTGAAAGGTGTACGAACACTTCTGTGGACCACTGTACGCTTAAATACACGTGTACACGTGAACTTCGTGTACCCGTGTCGCATTAAGAGCACGTGTGTGCCCGTGGATTATTTCACGTACATTTATATGTACGCGTAGTATTTCACGTGTATTTAGTTACGCGTATACAATATGTACTACATACATTTTGGAAAACAAGCTCGCATCACGATAAAATGCGTTACGCAAAGAGTGGGACGGGCGACGCATCCATGCACGTGTAACGAAATTGCACGTGAATTAATGGACGCGTATTTAAACATACGTGAAATAATTCACGGGTGCATGAGTCCTTATTGCGACACGTACCGAACTACGCGTGTGCGCGTATGCTTTTAATACACCTTCGAAACCATATCTCTCTATACATATACAGGATGTTCCACAATTATTTTAACAGCCGAAAATGAGGGGTAGCTGAGGTCATTTGAAGTAACTTTTTCCTTCGCGAAAATGCGATCTGCGGCTTTGTTTACGAGCTGTCTCTTATACACATCTAAATGAGGGAAATTATTAAATTAGCTTTATATATATATATATTATATTATATTATATATATAATATACAGGATCCCAAAATTATATATATATATATGGGGAATATACCGGGAAATGAGGGAAATTATAAATTAGCTTTATATATATATATATTATATTATATTATATATATAATATACAGGATCCCAAAATTATATATATATATATGGGGAATATACCGGGAAATGAGGGAAATTATAAATTAGCTTTATATATATATATATTATATTATATTATATATATAATATACAGGATCCCAAAATTATATATATATATATGGGGAATATACCGGGAAATGAGGGAAATTATAAATTAGCTTTATATATATATATATTATATTATATTATATATATAATATACAGGATCCCAAAATTATATATATATATATGGGGAATATACCGGGAAATGAGGGAAATTATAAATTAGCTTTATATATATATATATTATATTATATTATATATATAATATACAGGATCCCAAAATTATATATATATATATGGGGAATATACCGGGAAATGAGGGAAATTATAAATTAGCTTTATATATATATATATTATATTATATTATATATATAATATACAGGATCCCAAAATTATATATATATATATGGGGAATATACCGGGAAATGAGGGAAATTATAAATTAGCTTTATATATATATATATTATATTATATTATATATATAATATACAGGATCCCAAAATTATATATATATATATGGGGAATATACCGGGAAATGAGGGAAATTATAAATTAGCTTTATATATATATATATTATATTATATTATATATATAATATAATATAATATCTGTCTCTTATACACATCTAGATGTGTATAAGAGACAGCAGTTCAACGAATGACTCGCAAAGCTAATTTAATAAATAATAATCGTGTTAAAGGACGTAAGAGATATGTTTGTTAGAGAAATATGAAAGGTTATGTCAAGGTTATGTCAAGGTTATATCAAGGTCAACATATGAAATTTTTAAGCAAGGTGTTCAAGTTCAACGAATGATTCGCAAAGCTAATTTAATAATTTCCCTCATTTCCCGGTATATTCCCCATATATATATATAATTTTGGGATCCTGTATATTATATATATATATAATATAATATAATATAATATAATATAATATAGTATAATATAATATAATATCTGTCTCTTATACACATCTAGATGTGTATAAGAGACAGCCTGTATATTATATATATAATATACAGGCTGTCTCTTATACACATCTAGATGTGTATAAGAGACAGCCTGTATATTATATATATAATATACAGGCTGTCTCTTATACACATCTAGATGTGTATAAGAGACAGCCTGTATATTATATATATAATATACAGGCTGTCTCTTATACACATCTAGATGTGTATAAGAGACAGATATTATATTATATTATATTATATTATATTATATATATAATATACAGGATGTCCCAAAATTATGGTATTATATATATAATATATTATATTAATAATATATTATATTGGAATCGCGTATATTGTATATACGCGACCCCAATACGTCACCCGAAGCCTATTTCTTTGTTTATTCGACAGCCGTACGGTATCGATTATACTACACAATGTCTGGGTGTCCTTTTTCGCGCACTCGGCTCGGTTTACCCAATTTTTCACGTTCGCGTAATCGAAGCTCGAATTTCGGCTCCGCGGTATAAGTTTTCCAGTATGTAAATCGG